CTATTTGTATAGTATGTTTTTCTAACTTTCGAGTCTGTGGATGAAATCCTATGGTGTCACCATTCAAATGAAACCTCTTCAGCAGTACTTTCACATGGTGCTATTTGTATAGTGTGTTTTTCTAACTTTCGAGTCTGTGGATGAAATCCTATGGTGTCACCATTCAAATAAAACCTCCTTAGCAGTACCTTCTCATGGTGCTATTTATATAGTATGCTTTTCTAACTTTTGAGCCTGTGGATGAAATCCTTTGGTGTTACCATTCAAATGGAACCTCTTTAGCAGTACTTTCACATAATGCTTATTAGTTTTCAACGTTTTACAAAGCGGAATGAGGTAATTTTGTGAATTTTGACGTTGGCCACTTCAGAACTGTTTCTCAGTAGTGTAGTTCCTACCTTCACAATCACGACCTTTCTTTGTTGCCGAGTAACCAGTCCCACATGAGCACTTATAGCTTCTTGGAATGTTTGTGCATGGTCTTCCACGGCAAACATCTTTGTTATTGCATTCGTTTGCGTCTAAAATTAAAACTGTGTTATTTTAAGCCACAATTTTTCCGTTCGAACTATTTCATAAATTTGCTGTAAAATTGAGAAGGAAGACCTAGGTAAAATATACCCCACCTCTAGAGTCAAAACAAAACCGTGGCCAAAGATCGAAAGTCGAGTTCATCGCTAATGCGTTAATGACCTTAGCTGAAAGATCTTCCGCAGATTTTCATATCTACTTTCGCATTGTCACTTTCGTGTAACTGATTATTAATGATCATCATCATCAATTTTTTTCAATTTCTCAGCTGTGGTTATTATCTCCCAGTGTATTCTTTATCGAAACTTAGCTCTACCATTCGCGTGGTTCCTGTGCAAATTATTCTATGTTTACCAACAGGCCTATTTAGCGTTCTAAGCAGGCACTTCTGACATGTGTTGTTTGAAGCCGCTAGTGTCAAATCTTTGTCTCAGTCATTTTCGGTGTAGTTACCTGAGGGGAAAGTACTCGACAAAGTTTTTTACTGAGAGGCTTCGTTCCGAGGTCCGACCTCTTACCCTTTTATATCGCATTTTTGACACAAAAGGTAACTCTTTCGTATATCTTCCACTGACAAATTGTACCCATTTCACATACCTAGTTTAGAACTTTGCTTCCCTTTTAACTGCTGTAAATGCATCGTCTTTAAAAAATATGAAACAATCACAAAACCAGAACGTTTTCTCGACTTTTTCATTGCCATAAAATGCATCTGTTTTAGCCTGTTCTACCACAAGCGTTCCAAGCTCACGTTACGGGTGTGTTATCTATATTTTCTTACAAGAGAGTAGCTGTTGCGTCATTTTATCGTTACTTTTATCCATAAAATAAATAAAGGAGACTTATCTTTGATGTTTTCCTGTGTTTTTTGGTGTGAATTCATCGATTTAGTCGGTTTTTTGGCTGTTATTGAGGTAAGTCTCCGTTATTTATTTTGTAGAAAAGAAGTAAAAATAAAATGATATTTAGTGTTCGCAGACCTCAGTATTTTATTTCTCATACAAAGTCTTAACGGTCGCTTGTAACGCGACACCGACTCTCTTGTGAGAAAATATCCTGACACACTCGTAACGTGAGCTTGGGAGGCCTGTGGTTTCACTGATCAAAATGACAGATTTCCCTATCCTTTCATATACCTCAACTAGTGAAATCCCTACCCTTTTATAGACGTGAAGCCTGAAAGAGGTACCCCTTTAAGGCGGGGCCTCTCCGTATTGGCCATTATAAGTAGTACCCCCGAGTGTAGTTCAGACACTGTTTCCAAGCGTTACTCACCTCTCACGCATATGTAACATCCTTGCACGTGACATGGGCTTCCATACCAGTAAATACTTTTAGTTGGGTGAATTTCCGTGCAATTCCTATCAATGCGATTGTTCATTGGTTCTTTTCGATGCCATTTCGTGTACTTCAATTCAGTTTCCCAGTCATCCAACCAAATCCATCGCGTAACATTCTTGGGATGCCGACGAAGCCCCAACCAGGCCCCCTCGGACAAACATCGAAGGCTTGAGTAATGAGAAACAATGAATGCATTTTCAGCATCCGAAGTTACAGTTACAAGGTCGGCCCCATGTTCCTTGCATCGCTTGCGTGCCTTAAACCATGTAGCGGTCTGGTTCGAGAAGAAGTAACAAGAACCGTCTAAGAATTTCCAACCAGCTGTGCAAGACTGATTTCCTAACCACACAGATACAAATCAATCATTTGGTATCACCTAACAGATAAAGAATAATTGGATCTGCAAGCACAATTGAATGAAATTGTAATTCTTATTTGATGAAGCAGATTGCAAAGTCCTGCTCCAACCATATTTGTGCATATTTTAGCATATTGCGTCTTAAGTTGTCCTTTGTTTTCTTTGAACAGTATGGTGTATTAAACTAATAGCAAGCGTGACAATCGATTTTCAGCAAGTTAAGATCATCTCTAAAACGACCCTAGTGCCATATATTTTTATTATTAATACTGACAATGTTTTGCTGTATTATCAGATGTTATTTATCAGCAACACCTTATAGAAAAGCACTGCCCTTCATTTGGCTTTATTTTTAGCTCCTAGGTCTCTTTAGGAATCCTAAAATTCCATGTAGTGAATGGACGAGTTTTTTGTCGGTTTTTCCGAAGAGGGATCCGGACAAAATTGGTCGTTATAACAAACTTTTCGAAAACATCTTCCCATCTTCCACTGGACTTTATTAGCAGAATTGTCTCAATTTTCAGCCGAACGGTTCGCCTGCGGAACTTCAACTTCCAGTTTTTCAACTCGAGGACTCTTGTTGCGACTTTTCCGGAATTTTTCCCTGTTGAACGCAAAGCGCCTCTGATTTTCTTTTGAATTTGAACCCATTTGGCGTCCCCGTCAGGTTTAGAAAACCGGAATCACCCTGCATTATTGAAAAATATAACCCCACGAGTTTACTTTGCAAGATAGTTCGATTCTAATACTGCAAGTATGATTGTCTCAGTATAAGTAACTGCGCTGATTTCATTTTCAATTATTCTGTTACACTTTGTTTTCAGATATTTCATCTTTGTTGCTCGTTTACATACAGTTGTCAACAAATACGCGCGATTCTTTGTACTCTTATTTACATACAAAATTATTATTTTTGTGGTTACCGTCTGTTTATGAAAATAACGCCTACTAAACCTTAGGTGGTAGCGTGGAGTTATCGCTTATTTGATACTTTCAAATATTGTGGAAAAGCCGTGTGTTCCGTGCGTGTTGAGTTGCTCCAGTTGTGTGTACAAAAGGTTTCTTCTATTCTTATATGTTAATTCCTTTTGTAACTGTATGCCCGCCCTCTGTTCGCCTTCAAAGTCATTTTTTTTCCTCAATTTTCTAAGTTTTAAGACATTGCCTTCTGATGCGCAGTCACAGAATTCCAGTATGATCTTAACTGAAAATCACTTTACAGAAGGGTCTTTAGATAGCACCATGAAAAACATTTTGAAATGGTTTATACTAATTGAAAGTGATAAACGTTCCTGTTGTAATTAGCAAAAATCAGCAATAATTTTAATCAGTGTAGAAACCATAATAAGTTATTTGATTTTACAAGATATTTCCCTCTATTCGGTCTTTATTGCATTTTCTCAAAGGACATTAACGTTTTCAATATCAGTAGATTTTTACCTTTTGGCGTTCGTATGATAGATTATTCTCCACCCGCCGGGGCACTCGGCTCCTACTCTCGCTACAATGAAAAGCATTCATCCGCGAAATCTAGACAATTTAGTCATGTCCTTTTTATTTGCCAAAAAAAAGAGAGAGATCGTTTTATTAAAGGACAGCGTTCACATGTGATATGTATTTTGTAGATTTGGAGTATTTTTTAATACTGTATTTTATAAAAACTACAATTTTTGCCTTTTCAGATTGTTATTGGATTAAGTAGCTTTTTTCATTTCGCGAACGGAATTCCCAAAGGTTTAATTTATATAATGCATGTTCGTCTCTTAAAAGTTTGGTCGGGCTAAACAATGTTATTAAGTGAGCTCTTTGCACAAAAAAAATCCATTTACAAGCAATAATCGGCTTTTCGCCTTTTGAATAACTAGTTAAAAGAGCTATTAGTGTTTGAGGTCCAGAAGGGGTCTTATTGTAATTTAGGTAATTATAAGACAGTCTCTTTTGCGTGCAAGACCTAACTTAACGACAGCAAATTACTTCTCAAAGTAACAACGTTTATCTCCTAAACTGTAAAACAAGGCTAAAAGTGCGAAGTTGTTCTTTTTCATAAACCTGTTACCTATGTCTCAAGAGATCGATAGTAATATCTGATAGATGAAAATTAAGTAAACGAAAATCTATTCAGTACATGTACATCGATTGTGTTTCCTTATTCTGAATATAATTAAATTTGGTGAAACTAAATTTTAAAGATCATTATTACTATAATAAAGTCGCGGTTGATCTAATTCCCAAGTCCAAATCTACAACTCGGTTTGGAGAAAAACTTTAAAAAATCAACAGTCTTTAGTTTTTTGTATTAATAAAGTCTCGTGGACTGACCAGCAATATTGCAGAGCAGTTTTGTTTATAGACACCTGCTTCAGCTTGTACTGAAAACGTTGACGACCTTACTGCGTTTATGGCTAAAAAATCATAGCAGACCACAATATTTCAAATGTTTGCCTTTACAGTAGTCAGTTCCTCTGCAAACTTAGTGTGCAAACTAATGAATGTTCTGGGTACGTTGCGTCGAATTGTGATTAGAGATACGGAATTTATCTGTTTTGATCTTCAATGCCTTAAAAGTCAATTTACAGCTCTTGAGGATCTCTGAATAATTGTAATATTTATCTTTATTTCAAGTGATTAAACGTGACATTTCTTAGACCTGAGTCGGTTGTCGTTCCGCTAACACATTCAATAAATATCGAGATTAAAATGAGGTACAGCTAACTCGATATCAAATCAGATGATACCATATTTCATAGAGTCTTTCAGATATAAAAATCGGTATAATTCTACACATATCGTCTCCTAAATCTCTCTAGTTGCAATGTTCGTACATTTCGAATAATCTGACATACCTTGAGTGCTGTAGATTTCTGACAACAAGAGGACAGAAACACAGAATACTTGAAACTGGTGACCGCCGAAGCGCATCATGCAAACGTTGATGTATTCCAGATTGTACGCTGTTTTGCCTCGGGCACCGGGAGAAAAGCACGGCGGGTAATCGAATGAAAAAATGGAAACAATTTATAATTTGTCACAAGAATACCATTTCGATGGCCAAAGAATCGTAGATTGTTTGTTTAGTGAATAAGAAGTGGAGAAGACTCTTAAGTTCACGAATATTTGATGGAAACAAAAGATAAGAAGTACGTTTTGCCGTATTTCAAGACTTATGAACAAATAAATGCAATTTCGCGAAAGCAATCGCACATGCGGTTTACGATAACATCCACTGGAAAATTGCCCAAGACGGTGATTTGACTGTGACTTTGAAAGTTTCATCAAAACGGGTTTTAATAATTTATTTTGCTTTCCGATGGTTAATATGAGGAGACACTGTACAGCTTGGCACCCTCTTTCCCTCTCCCTCCCACCCCGCCCCCCCCCCCCCCCCACAAACCCCACCACCAAACATCACAAATCTAATGACATGAAACATATTGCCCCAGTGTGGTTTTTTAACTGTGCCTTGGAAAGTTTATCCAAACCGGGTTTTATTATTTTATTTTGTTTTCCGATGGTTATAAGAGGGGAACACTGACCAGCTTGGCCCCCTCTTTCCCCCTCCCCCCCACCCCGCCCCCCCCCCCTAAAAAAAATCGCTTACACGAATGTTAAGAAACGTTTTGAACTGAAACAAGCGATCACATGTTGTGCGTAGTGCCGAGAATACTATAGACTTTAAGGACGCTTTCTAAAAGTTAGACTGGTCGGTCGGACGATGACAAGACCAGATATTTTGGCAAAGAAATAGGAGGTTTAGAGGTTTTACTGAAAAACCGTCTCCTTTGTGTATAATATTTAGGATTTGACTGATCTGGATGGTTAATTTTGATTAAAAGTGAAATTCTCATTAAGATGGGAATGGGCTCGCCGGTCAGTTCTGACAAATGGTAAGCGCCCTAAGATTCGCTACGGAGAGATGCTACCACGGCGACATGAGGACAAAATCGCTTTCGGTGACGTCACCATCCGAGTTGTAGTACGGCTTTCCCGCTGTCCGTAGCCTTGTTTTCTGGTACGGCAAAGTGCCTTGATCACCGTACTCGTCACTACGTGAGCATTAACTGACATTTTGCCATACCACAAAACAAGACTACGGCCGGCGTGAAAGTCGCACTGCGACTAGGGTTGTGACGTTACCGGAAGTGATTTTGACCTCATGTCGCCGTAGTAGCACCTCTCCGTAGCAGTCTTAGTGCGCTTTCCATTTGTCGGAACTGACCGACCAGATCATTCCCGTCGTTATGAGAATTTCACTTTTAATCAAAGAACTATGAATTAACTATCCAGCGAGATCAATCAAATCCTAAATAGTATGCAAAATAGTATGAACGAAGGAGATGGTTTTTCAGTAAAAACTCTTGGAAAAAGCCGCTTTTATTTGCCAACTGACCGGTCTGGCAATGGTCCGGCCGGCCACGGTTCTGACAAATGGAAAACGCCCTTTAAGTCCCTATTCGTTAATTGACGACGTTTATTAAGCTGGCCACATTTTAAAGTTTTTGTAGCCAATTGTATGCAATGACTTTTTTTGTGATCATTCAGTTAGGTGAAAAGTAATCAAAACAAGATGATAAATTACATATATTACCCTGAAAACGAAAGGATCAGTATAAACTTCTTCTTTTATTATTACTGCGTACGGGAATAAAAGAAATGGTGAACAAACACACCAAAAAAACGGCAAATGGCGAACGCAAAATAACAATAAGAAAAACGGTAATCAGACATTAGAAAGTATTAGGAAAAAGAAATAAAAAAGAGAGAAAAAAGAAAACACAACGGAAAACCGAAAATGGAAACAAAAAGGTGAAAAGAGGTATTATTGAAGTTAAGACAAACATTGGAAAGAACATTAAACGGAAAACAGACAAGAGAAAACACAACGGAAAACAGAATACCAAGGGACCGTTTATTTTTTTATGGGAGCTGTGGGTGCTAAGATTTGGAGTAGTGTCTTTTGGCAATGATGCCACCCC